TTTAGACATGAACCCGAAATGACTAAGTCAATAAAAATGAAAAAAAAAACACCTGTAGAAAAATTATCAAATAATGTTGAAAATACCAGGTGCATATCTTCATATGGTAAATAATAAGTGTACAAATTCTCAAACAAATCTATGCAATAGTCTCTGGGAACAGATCCGGGCAAAACCACATAATAAAAATGAAAAAAACACCTGTAAAATGCAACAACAAAAAATTATTCAATCATGATGAAAATACCAGGTGCATACCTTCATATGGCAAAGAATAAGTGTACAAATTTTCAGACGAATCCTTGCAACAGTTTCCAAGAAATGGTCCGGACAAAATCTTGTCTACAGACAGACGGACAGACAGACAGACGGACAAGCTGACTCCAATATCCCCCCCTAAACTTCGTTTGCGGGGGTATAAAAACATATTATTGGGTTTATTGTACTAAAGTCTATCGGAAAAAGCTTAAATAAGTCTCTGTTGGACTTGGCCCCATCAGAACATACATACTTTATTTTGAATTCAAAATTTTACAAATATTGTCAAATATCCATAGCAATAAGTTAAAATCATGTCCAGAAGCTGTAGTTGGTGGAAAGTGAGCAAATGGAAATTGTAACCTTGCCCCCCCCCCCCCCCCCCGTTTCATATTCATTAATATTTGAAGGGAAAAAATGAGTACAAGAGAATATTCAATGACTGATGATGATAGGGAAAGTTTTGATTATGATTTCTCCAATACTTTCTGGTTTTTATTCATATTTGTATTGGTGTACACAAATAGAGAGAAAAAAATTTGTTCTTCTCAAAACGAGATACCGTATATGTATTTGTCGGTACATGTATTTACAAATGTAAGAACAAATGCAAACTTCCTTGTTTTTCTTCCTTATTTCCATCTCGTTGATTATTATTATCGTGTATGTGTTTGTAGAAAGATACAACAGGAAGCAAGTCCACAAATAGTGTAAGAAAATGCGATTTTGATTTATTTCTATGAAATGTCGAAGAGTCAAAAACAGGAACTTTGTATGTTTTTTTTTTAAAAAAGGGAGGGGGAAGACAGAAAAATAATTAACAACTTATATTAAAAATCTTTGACCAAAAAAAGTAAAGTAAAATTGTAAAACCTCGAAAATCTTTTTTTTTCAAATAGGGGGAAGTAATATTATTGTTTACTTCAAAATTTTAAACAAGAAATTTACATTGGCGGATTTGACCATACTGCAAGAAAAAGTAGGGGACCAACCGACCTTTCAGTAAACATTTCTTTCTAAATTAATTCTAAAACATTTTTAGTTGGGAGGCAGACCTCTCTCCGTCACGCGTTACTAAGCGCCTACTGTAGAGAAATTTTCAATGATGAATGTATATGTGCAGGTTATTTCAGTATATCTTACAGCATACCTGTAAACTAGAACAACCTTTTCCGGGAAACAAGGCAGGTTATAGCTGCTTCTTTACCCGTGATAGACGTGTATTAACAATCAAAACACTGCTATGCAACAGCACATGCAAAATAATCAGAGAAAATAATGAACTTGATCAATTTCTAGATATTCTGAATGCTCATAGATTCTTCATGAACTATGGTCACGGTAACTCTGTAGAGCTCTCGCTTCGTGATCGGAAGGTCGTGGGTTTGAACCCCCGCCGCGACTGACCTAAGTCGATAAAAAATAGGTAGCAACTGTTCCTTTACCAAGCACTCGGCCCTTTGAAGTGAAAGTTGTGGGTCTTTCGAATGAGACCTTGAATACCGTTGTATTTGCTCGATAAAGATCCCTGACTGTAGAAGAAGATTATCAAAGAATTGATGCATTTTACTACATACATATCTCAGCTCTACCCTAACACTAGAACCCCTCACCAAGGGGCCATGAAAATTCACAATTTTGCAAGAGGCAACCTTCTTCATATAACCATATACAGTGTACTAATTTCAAAGTATTTAGGCATTTCACTATATAATCATTAGAGCCCCGACCAGACATAAGTATCCCTGACCCAGGGGCCATGAAATTCACAATTTTGAAAGAGGCACCCTTCCTCATCATAACTATGCATTTAATTTGTTTGCTTAATACTCAGGAGCAGAGAAGATTTTAAAGAAATAATGCATTTTCATGATAATATTATATTCATCAGAGGCCTGCTGTAGAACCCCTGACCCTGAGGCCATGAATCTCGCAATTTTGGTAGAGGACTCAATGCTTATTACAATCATGACAATAGTTCAACTGCTTGATGTCCTGGAGTAAAGAAGAATTTTAAAGATAGCACTAATTTTAAAGGTTGTAGCCCCATGCCACAGGCCCAGGGGGAAGGGACGATGAAATTGACAATTTTGTTCCCCTTCATTCATATATGCTGTATGCCAAAATGGGTTGGAATTGGTTCAGCGGTTCCAAAGAAGTACATGTAGCTGAAAATGTTCAAATGTTAACGGACGACGCACAACGCACGACGACGGACGAAAACGGATGGCAAAAGGTCACCTGAGTGACTCAGGTGACCTAAAAATGGTTATCAATAATTTAGGGATTCATGTCAGTTGTCTATCGGGCTCAAAATAATTAGTTTTCAGACCCGTAGCGTAGCAACGGGTTCAGAAGTGGGGCGGGCAGCTTCCCAGAAAAATCTGACAAGCCAAAAAAAAAATCTAAACTGATGAAAAGTTGGGGGGGGGGCACTTCCCAAAATTATCTGACAAGCCAAAAATTAAAAAAAAAGTCATTTAATCTCCAGATAGTGGAATTTGTCAGTGCTCGACCTTACCAGGGACCTATATACTAACGGGATTGGCAACTCTTTCACTAAACTGTGAAAAACTGCTGAACTCTCGAACGTCACGAGATCTTGCGAGATCGGCTTATTTTCAGTGGCGCCATTTTGAATTCAAAGCGAGAAGACTCCCAGATTGATAACTTTAACTGTTTTAACTGCCTTAATTGGTCTTATCTGCGATCGAAAAGATATTTACGACATGGTAAGTAGTGTTATCTTTGTGATTACGATCTCTGTTTTAGCCAATCAGGTGGTGTTTTCATAGTAATTAAAGATCAGATACGAATGACTACCCAAGCGTGGGATCGCGTGGGTATGATTACACAGCACAGCTGGTGATTGAGGTGCCTTGCGGGTTTTATTTCTCCATATTATCAAGCGGAAAGCACTTCTAACTTATAAGAATCAGAACTATTCAATTTTTTGATATCGAAAAATGAAGAATCTTTTATTATTTGTGTGTTGTATTTACGAAGCATTTTTACACAAAGTAGGAGACCTAGCCCATTTTGTTTTTCAAATTAATCGTAACATGAGGGGAAAAGGAGGTAATACTTTCGAAATGTTAACAATAAAAGTCTTAAAAATGGGAAGAATAGTTCATTTTTGGAAAATTTATTAAAAAATGTAGTTTTTGATAGCTAACTTGACGATACGTGACCTAAGTTAAATATTCATTCAAGAAGGTTTAAAAAAAGCATGGTCATATGAAAAAATAAAGGAAAGAGGGGATAAGAAACCTCTAAAGATATATAAAAAATGGAAATTAAAGAAATTTAACAAAGATAATTCATTGTTTTGTTACAGAAGTTCACCTCAAATGTGTGTACTACTGGCCAAGAGAAGCCTATGCTATATAAGAAAGCCTGAAAATAGCATAATACATGGATGTATACAAATTCTTACAGCTTGTTTTAATAATTGATCTATTCTCTGTTATTATTATGTATTATTACATGAAGTTAAACAGAAATATGAAAGACATAGGACCCCTTGAAGTATTTCAAACCACCTTTTACATCAGCAAATTGACAAAGGGTGTACATTCTGATTAAAATCAGATCCCCAGGTCCGTTTGTGTAGAATTGTAGATCTGAATATGGATCATGTATTTTCTTCCATTGATCATGTTTGTTAAAATTCATGTCAGAAATTATCATAACAACTTGTGATTAGGTAGGTCATGAAGGTCAACCGCTGGACACACTAATATTTTCATCATGCTGTGTTACATGCCTTAGTTTTGAAAGACATTTCTTATATTTTTCTGTGACCTTTTCAGAAACAAGAAGCTATATTACTAACAAAAATGTAAAAAGTCTGATGTTGATGGTTGCTATACTTGATCTTTTGATTAGATAAACACACCTACAGATTCACTAGATTATGGCAAATTGACTATATACCTACCATTATTGTAACACTTTTCTCAAGTTTTTAATATAGCATTTAAATATAGATACCATATCAGGCACATGATCAGTCATATATCTCCTTACTGCTCATTTCCAGTCTCTCAAGTTTCTCATTAATGGGGTATGATAAAAAGACACTGTACAGCACTAATTGCTGGGACCTTCTGATGGTATGGACAATTAAAATGTAACTTTGCAAATGGAGATAGTGTACAAAATATAAAGGAACCTTGTAATCTTGGAAATATTTATATCAAGCTCCCATTAGAAGAATGAATCATTTGAAATTGTGAAGTGTTTCATAGTTACAATTACCTGTTAACATGGTTAGGCATTCCTATATATTTGCTATTTATTATTAATTTTTTGCTTACTCATGGTTTGTTAATATCTTAAAATTTAGTTATTACTATGTACTCTGATGTGTTATATATGAAACAAATAAATAAAGAGCTTGAACTTGACATTAGTAAACTGAACAAGGAAGGAGAGAGAGAGGCGACATTGATGAAGAAATTAAAGCCATATGCAGAGGACATAAAAAACCTTGTCATTCTTAATAAGATGCTCTATATGTATACATTTGTATTTTAAACATATTTTATTGAGTAATTTAATAAGGATTGGGCAGCAAGCAAAGCCTAAGCACACCCTCTCCTTGTGTACATTTGTAAAAACCCTTATAAATATTTCTACATATATATATATATATATATATATATATATATATATATATATATATATATATATATATATATATATATATATATATATATATATATATATATTTCAGAGCAATGCCTGTCTTGAAAAGGAGAAGTGGATCCATCGGCCAAAGAAAGAAATACCATTCAAAAAGACAACGGAGTCACAGTGTGTCAGATGTATCGGTTGAACGCAGTGATCAAAACTACAATATTGTTGACAGTTCTTCACCTCCAAGTCAGCATTCTCCAGATCTCAGCTATTGCTCCAGTCCAGTCATCTCTGAGGCCAATGATCAACAAGTTCAAATACCTTCAGATCACATCTATTGGTCCGGTCAGGTCACCTCTGGTATTAATGATCAAGAACAAGAAACATTGGTTGGTGAGAACATGCCAGTTGCTTTCCCTGTTTCACAGAACTTGCCAGAATCTCCTGACGAAAGTAAAGAAAATGAAGACCCACTGGTACTACATAAGGATGAACTAATTCCCCTGGTTTGTTCACCATATACCGTGACGTACCATCTTCATCAGCATGCCATAGAAATTATTGAATTCAACAAACATCAAGAACAAAGCTCCTCGGTAAAGCTGAGTGTTATGATTGGGAGAGACTTTCAAGTGAACATTTATGTGCACAGAACTTTAATTCCATATTCTCATGAATTCTGGATTGGACTTCCAAGACAAACCTCCACAGCAGCGGATGTTTGCAGAGTACTGGAAAAACTTAAAAGTTATGGCATATGTGTGGGAAATCCTGATGTTGAGTTCCAGGATCTGACACCAACAGGATGCGGATTATCACATGCAACAACTGAAGAGATTTCGGCATTCAGAGAAGGGGATTTTGGTGCCATCCAGGGAAATCTGACCTACAGTTCAACGATACGATCGTCCAAATGTGATTTTCTTGTTGAAGGAGCAAGGTGTGTGAATTGTTCTGGGTACAGGCGGCTTCTCAGAGAAAGAAAGTATCGGAAAGAAGAACAAAAGAAGAGAGATGTCTCCATTGGAAGCACATACAAACATTCTGACATGACACGTGATATGCTCTACAAGAAACTATCGCTCCAGAAATCCCACATGAAATCATTACAAACAGAAGTTGATCGCCTTAAGAGGGAAATGAACTCTTCCATTGAGAAAGGTGTGAAACTGAACGACATTCAAAATCGGGAAATGAAAGATTTGATGGGAAGCTGCCAGAATGAACTGGAAGAAGAATTTCCGGATCAAGGGTGCTACCAAAGACTCTTCTGGGAACAGCAGAAGAAATACGAGACACATGGGAAACATGGTATGCGATGGCATCCGATGATTATAAAGTTATGCCTATACCTTAGGCACAAATCCTCCAAAGCATATGAGGCACTTCGAGACTGGATTTGTGCAGCTGCCAAGTATGCGCACATTATACGATTATTCCCACTACATTGAAAGCCACTTAGGATTCCAGCCAGATGTGGTTCGGATGTTAAAAGAAGAGTGTAGCAAAAAAGACATGTTTGCTGCTGAGCATAGAAGTTTTGTGGGCTTGTTGTTTGATGAAGTGAAAATAAAAGAAGACCTTGTGTACGACAAACATTCCGGGGAACTGGTTGGCTACGTAGATTTGGGAAATGTTGGAAACCAACTGTGTGAATTAGAACGAGCCCTGAAGAAGAAAACCAGATGCAGCTCGGATGGTGTAGCAAAATTTGTCCTTGTCCTCATGGTCAGAGGGGTTACAAGTGATTTGAAATTCCCATTAGCTGCCTTTTCAACAATGGGAATAACAGCAGACTTTTTGTATCCTATCATTTGGAAGGCTATTTCCATTCTGGAAGTCATCGTGAAATTAAAGGTACTCTTTTGTACATGTGATGGTGCTTCAGCAAACAGACGTTTTTTTAAACTGCATGCCAGAGATGGAGAAAACTTCACCCACAAAACAGTCAATCCACATGACACTACAAGAGAGATATTCTTTATTTCTGATGTTCCGCATCTAATCAAAACTGTTCGGAACTGCTTCTGCAATTCCTACTCACACACCAAGTCTAGGACCCTTTGGAATGGTGGAAAAGATATATCTTTGATGCACATTGTGAGACTTTACGAAGAACATTGTGACCAAAAACTGTACACACCCTGTCCAAAGCTAACCCGTGGACACATTGACTTGAATGCTTTTAGCAGAATGAAGGTCAGACTGGCTGCTCAAGTTTTAAGCGAAACGGTGGCCAATTCTCTAGAGATGTTTTTTGATGACTCTGTAAGCGAGACAGTCACCTTTATTCGTACAATGAATAAATTTTTCGATTGCCTGAATGTACGCAGTCCCTATGAAGGAAGAAACAAACGAAATCCAAACCTGGAGGCTTACACAAGGTCTGATGACAACAGACTGCACTGGTTGACCATTGATTTCCTACAGTACTTTGAGGATTGGAAACAGGCTATTGAGGAAAGGGGAGAATTTACTGATGCTCAAAAAGCCAGCATGCAGCTAAGTCACCAGACTCTCCTTGGTCTGAGAATTTCGGCACACTCTATCACTGCCTGTGTCAAATACATGCTAGAGAAAGGATCAGAGTATATTTTGACCAGTTTTTTCAACCAGGATCCCTTGGAACAACATTTCGGCCATTATAGGCACAAAGTGGGCAACAACAACAATCCGACAGTGTACGAAGTAAGAAATATATTGACTCAGATTCGTACTGTGGGGGCACAAGCCCTTCCATCAACACGAGGAAACTGTGGCAGAGATGAAAACAGGCCCCCACAAGTAATAGACAATTCCGACATTCCTAGGCGAAAACCAAAGAGACGTTGAGCATTTTAGATGTGCAAAAATTAACTGTCAGTGACCAATATTGTTATTTGAATCAACATGAACAGTAAGAATAATATTGGATAAGCAGTTTATACTATAGATGTAAAACATGACAATATGGACTTTATGATTCAACATGTATTGAAAGTGTGAGGGTCATTCTTTTTTATGAAACTGTTTTTTTTTTTTTTTGGATAATTTAAATTTATACCTTTAAATAATTACTTGTTTGTACCAGTTAACTTGTTTCTTGAAAATATGACAATAAATGTATGACATGAACAATGGTCTTTTTACTTGAAGAAATGAACTGCAAGGATGGAAATTTAGGTACTGAATACAAGACATTGTACAGGTTGATGTTCACTTTCAGTGTTGAGACTGCTACTTCTAGGGAGCTCTATAAATTGCAAACTAAAGAGTTTTGACGTGGCCCCAAGACCATAAACTGAGAACAGACTTTGGTTAAAAATTGAATTTTTAATATCTTGAGTTTTAATCAATTAAAAATGTGTGTATTTTCATTATCACTTAAAATCAGACATATGATGAAAATTAAGTTTTATTTTAAAAACTATTTCAAAAGTTACAATGGCTTGAAATGTTGACTTAAGTCTGTTCTCAGTTTTTGGTCATTAGTGATGGTTTTCTCAAGGTCTAAAAAATTAAGAGCATCTTTAAGTGCAATGTGCGATTTGAGAAATGGTTGTACATTCCACTGACATAATCAAAAACAGGAAAGGGCTACTATTCTTGTAACAATGAAAGCATTGCTGTGTTACCGTATATTTATTTCAAGTCCTCTATGTTGTATAATATTGACAAAGTCAATTTATTTGTCATGTTTAAAATAATTTTTTTCTGTGGGGAAGTCAACACAGCAGCCTTCATTTTCTCCTAGCTGAGTTGGTAATACTCCATTACTATAAGACTGAATATTCTATAATAGTTTATTCTTTTTATTAATCAACATATCAAGAAAGTGAACAGATGCAGACTTGGTCAATTTCATAAGATGAACAACACAACAAAATAAATATTCACAAACATGAGTCATTGACAAAAATGCAAACTAAAGAGTTTTGACATGGTTTTCTTACAGAGGTAAAAAATGTTACATTGCTTAGAGCCTCCTTCAGTGCAAGTGCACTTAATGCATTTTAGAATTAAGGAAGATGTCATAGTTGAACAAAACAACAAATAAAGTCTTTGGCAATAATCAGCATAACTAAAAGTGAACAGGTGAAGCATAAGTTAAACAATACAGCATAATAAATATTCACATACACAACTCTTTGGCATTGATCAATATATCCAGAAGATGAAAGAGTAAAGATGAAAGAGTAAAACATATATTAATTACTTATTAAGATTAACAGCACAACATACTGTATATTTTAAAAAAAATTCACAGACACAGTCTTTGGCACTAAAACATAATGCATCTGAAATATAGCTAATTACTCAAGCACTAGAAAATAATTCCATCAGAAATAATGTCTTAACACAGGTAATCAGTTTTTACGAAAAGTTTGTACTGCTCTGCTTCAGCACCTGACGCAGACTGTCACTCTGTTTGGCTGGCTGTTTGGCTTGTTTAACACTTAGTTTGTTTCGGAGCACACGTGCCACTGCAAACCCCCGAACAGTCAAAAATACACTCACAATATCCTCCAAAAGTGCTGAGAGGTCATTGTTTACACAATCTTGGAAAAGTTCCTTAAGATAATGATTCACCATGAATGAATCCATCATGTGCTCCTTCATCTTGCAGCTGTTTAACGTCTCGGACTGAATGTCATTGAAATCGACAATCTTTCTGATGGAGATTTCAAGTTCACGTACCAGAAGAAAGAAGTTATCTGCTGGTCTCACTAGGCCTCCACGACTGTTCTTTGTAAGCCACTGATCGTACTTGGAAACAAAGTTTGTACTGCTGGTCTTGCTGGTCAGCTTGTTAAGTAGGTCCAGTCTCTCCCGATATATAGAACAGAATTGTCTGGTCATTGGTGGATATCTGATACGATAGTTCATCTGATAATTTCTTGTTTTCTTTCAGCAGATTTCCAAGAATTTCACTCGGTATCTCGAGAATATAGTCCTGGAGGAAGTTTATAATGTCTTCTCTCTTTTCGTCACATCCCTTTTCCATGAATAGTTTAACACAATCACTTTGCACACAGGAAGACAGTCTCAATTCATGAATTCTTGAAAAGAAGAGCTCCCTTTCACTGGAATCACTCAAGGAGAGGCTGAAGATATCTTTTAGCTGGCCAAGGAAAAATCCATCCAGAAAGTTTGCTTCACTGCAAAATCTAGCTAACATCTCTATACGATTGTCCCCAAACAACTTGTACATTGGATTGTTGCACATCTTCTCCAGTGTTTTCTGACTAGCGTCATGAAAAATTTTCTCGAAGTCCACTGATGTGCAGCAGTAGGTGATCTGTGGTCTTCTTTAGCCTTCTGGGTTACTCGATGATCACTTGCTGTAAGAAAAATATGAAAAATAATTATATGTTCCACATAATTTTTTTTTTCAGTTTATATTATCTTGCACTAGTATACTGAATTGGTAAATTTTAAAACAATAGATTATATAATAATTTGTTTAAATTATTTTGTTACAAAGACTATCTCATCAAAAATATCACACTGTTTACATACCTTTTGTTCTGCTTTTTTTGTGTTGTTTGGTCATATGCCCTCGAAATCCTGAAATGGATTTCAAAATCTTCTTGCAGTCTGGGCACTCGTATTTTGGAATCTCTGTTGGGCACTGGTTATCTGCTGAATCTTTAGACTCATGGTCTGTTTAGTCACCTAAAAGTTCATCCAAATCAATATCATTATCCCAGGACAGAAAATCTTCTTTACTACACATGGTGCTTGAAAATTTTGTTCACATAAAATGTCAAAGTAATGGTTGCAGATCAACCAATTCCTTACAATGTTTGTCAAAGTACACCACTGTGTGCTCCTCATTATCTTTTTTAACAAGCGTAAAAACAACAACATTTACCACACGAGAGCTATATAAACACAGGTAAGCCCCAGATTCCCTTGATCGTCCTCTAGTTCTAGCGCTATCAAAACTACTTTAATTAATTTATAATTAGTAATTGGGTGATATCAACACAATAATGTGTTGTCTGTAATAACAATGCAAATGAAATGCCTTCGTTTTTGGTCAAATGAAAGGGCCAATTAACGTACTATCAAACCATTATAACGAATTGTTGATAGCGCAAGAAGTTATTTTAAATATTTGCATTACCAATCTTGTATTCTCAATACAATAATTATTCCATACCTGCAGAAACTGGATGAGAAAAAAAAATCGGTATCTTCTTGTTTACATCTGAACTACGCTATCTTACATCTCGCGTGGCTCATTTGCATATGAATAGGGTTGTGCGAGAGAACGCGAGACTTGCGAAAGTTGCCAATCCCGTTAGTATATAGGTCCCTGACCTTACTTTAATTTTTAATTGTTTAATTTAAACAATATTATATTCACAGATCTAAAATTGAATAGGATTGGGCAGCAGGCTCAGCCTATTTTAGCCCTCTCCCTACATCAAGGTTAAGGAGAATACATAATAAATTAATAATTAAAGCAAAAGTAAGAATGTACAAAAGAAGAAAGCAAAAAAAAAAATAACAAAGTTACAGAAAAGAAAAGAAGCAAAATTACAGAAAAAAAGCAGACAAAAATACAAAGTAGGACCGTTTTGGAAATATTGAAAATCTTACTAATATACTACATACATGTATCTATATGACAGTGTTTATATAAATCGTTCTGTTGTTGCTATAAATATACGTACAGCTTCAAATATTTGTATATTAATATCAAGTCCATGATTAGGACCATTTAACAATAAATCACATTCAGAGATATGGTCACAATTAATAATATGTTTTGATTGAAAAAGTACATCTCTTGGAATTGTATATTTTGGACATACAAAAAAGGAATGGTAGGCATCTTCAATACAGCCAGCACAATGTTCACACGTTGGAGTTTCTGCTAAACATTGATTATATAAATCTGCCATCAAATTACTAGCATTATTTCTTATCTGACAATATATTATATTATATTTCTTATTCCAAAATGAAAAAGTTAATTACTTTTTCTACAAAAATAGGATTTTAAAAGACTCTTGAATGAACCTATTCCAGGAGCATTTTTAATATAATCTGGCATGATATTCCATTGTTTGACTGTAGAGGGAAGAAAACTTTCCATATAAGATGTTCTAATATTAGGAATTTTGAATTGTACATCATTGGTTTTGAGATTATAAGAATGACTTGATGGGCAATAGGGTTCAATCAAACCATACAAATATTGAGAATAACCATTAATAATTTTATAAAACAATATAAGCTTATGAATTTTTCTCCTTGTTTTTAGAAGATCCCATCCTAATTCATCATACAATTTTGAACGAGAATATTTTGAACGAGATATTTCGAATAAATGCGAAATATATTTTAACAAGTGTTTTACGTGCAACCTTATACTTAAGCATTCTAAGAATGTTTAATCTTTTTGTATCTTTTTCATGAATTATTTGTATGTATGATGTCCACAGAGCATCTCAATGAAAATGTAAACCTAGATGAGTAAGAATTTTTTTTTTGATAATATCTGGGCCGTATTCTCCAAATTTAACAGCAGAATATATAAGATTTTTTCTACTAAAATTTAAATTCACAGTTTTGTTAGGATTAAAATCAACCAGCCATTTTAACGTTTAAAGCATATTAGGCAAGATTTGGGAATAAACAACATCCAGATTATACAAGTTTCGCTTTAGCAATTCTTTGTTTACAATAGGAAAAAATTATGTCGGGGAAGGGGGATCAGAAGGAAAAGCGCTTTTAAGAAATAAATGGGAGGAGACCCATCCCCAATCCCTTCCAGTACTAAGTGTACCATTAGAAGTGAACTGTTGCACAAAGCTAGGAGGCTCTTAAGTTCACGGATC